CCCCAAAACCCCAAAACCCCAAAACCCCAAAACCCCAAATATATTGTCTAAAATTGAAATTATATAGTTTCTCCTGAAAACTTTGTGTTCAAATTAATCGGACTCCGGTCATAACTTCTATTATCAAGAGAGCCTTCATGAGTATTAGCCATATCATCACGCTTATGGAAGGAAGAGTTCTTTAGACTATCGTTTACAGTATATTTTGGTTTCAGCCTGATAACTATATTTATAAAGCACCTTAAATTTACTCCTTTTCTTTCTTTTAGGTCTTTTAGCAATGGTTACTCTCGGATCATAATCTAATTTTGCCTTACTCTGGCTTCTAAATATGACTAAAAGTTATTACTTCGGCCTTCTTCTTCTTTTGCAAGGATCTTTAAATTTATCATTTGGTGCAAAATGAGGATGGCTAGAGACTCTTCCGCTAGTAGAAGAAAGACGTTTGACCATTCTATTATGCTCTTTCCTTTCTTTCTCCCATTTATTAACGTTATACACACTTTTAGCATTCTGAAGTCTGCTCATAATATGCCTGTTCTCTTCATTTATCTTGACTAAGACCTCATATCGTCTCGCTCGATTAAGTGTTTTTCCAGGTGGCTTGGGAGGAAGGGTTTTCTTTATTCTTTTCGGATGTAGTTCACTGCCCACTTTCATATCAATAAGTAACATTTTTATTGCATCATTATCCTAAAGTTATTCTTTTCAGCTACCTATTCTCTCTCTGGATCTGCTGAGTCTTTTCAAGTTTTATCTGAGCCTTCTTCCGTTGTTCTATCAGATGTAGAGGGATCTTAGGAGCTTTGTTGTCTAAACAAGTATAATTTCCTTTCAAAAAGCCCAATATTTCCAAAATACATGTGAATTATGGTTAAAGGCTTACTGATAGTTCCTTTTATCTTCTGCATTTGTTGTGTTGTGGTTTTAGTTTTAAGTGGAGGAAATTTTGAAATTTTAAGCGATCTTCTGTAATTTGGTTAGCAAAGAGGTAAATTTTTAGGAAGGGTTTTAGAGATTTGCTAACTTTCTAGATTGTCGAAGGATGAAGGAGGTGGTAAGGATAGAGAGATCGAGAGGAAAAGATGTTAGTTTTAATTAATTTAGAAGAGAAGTGTCACATTTTGGATAATTTAGGAGTTATGTCAATATGATAATATTTTTAGCAAGATAGAGTCTAACAATGAAGAATTGTAATTTTGCTAAAATACTAAATAGTGGATAACTAAAAGAAAACAATAGGGATAAAATATTTTAAAGGGATTTATCTCATAAAATATGAAAAAGGCATTTCCATATAAGATATGGATAGCACTTAAAAATCTTATTCTTGTAATATATACAATTTTATATAGAAAGAATATAAACTGCATGATAAAACTTTCATAATAGCCTAAATTTGCCAGATCTGCAAGCAAATTTCAAATTTTATTTACTTCTCTACAGGTTGTTAAATTAGAAGCGCTTTATGAAAAGAGGCTAATATATGTATTATTAATTGAACATGCTTGTCATGAGACTTTGGTTCTTCATATCAAACACTTACCTATTTGAATACAACATTGCTTTGTTAGGGGTTGACATTCCGTTAATTTATTCTATAAATTATTAAATAAATGGGGTTTTGGGGTTTTGGGGTTTTGGGG